ATACATATATATATGTATGTATTTTGGTACTTTTGGTATTTATTTTGGTACCTTTTGGTACTCTCTCACAAACTCTACAGACACAGAGTAATCTTGTTCAGCGGTGAGGTGGCTGAAGTTGTTGCAACTCTGTTTGCATAACTTTTTGTTGTCCAACCTCCGCCTTTCTTTTCCTGCAGCTTGGTTCATCCACACGGCTGCTGGGTCCAACAGAGATGCTCTGGTTATCTGAAAGAGTTCATTGGACAAATGTTTACACTCTATAGCAGATCTATTTAGGAAGAAATGGAAGAGGATGCAGACAGAGAGAAATCTAAAACCCCTCTTTTTAGTTATAAAACATGAGCCACCAAATACTTTGACAAGAAAAAATGACACTTTCCCATGAATCCGCTGATCCGGCATCAGCAAAGATTTTATAGAATAAAAGCTTGGCAGCAAGGAATTAGGTTTTTGCAATTTTTGGAGGAAAAATATTCAAAATAAATATTAACACTTTTACATAAAGGTAATTACAAACCTTTAATTGTCAAATCATTTAATGTTTTTCCATTAAATGTAGTTAAACAGGTTTTTTGGATTTTACAATTTATTGAACGTTCATCAAATAACAGGATCATCAATGTGTTACTCAAACAAGTCTAATGTTAGTATATTAATATAACACCTCTGCAACGTTTGGTTCCCTAAAATTTAACTCTGAATTTGCATTCCTGTTTCTTTTTCATATACCTTGAACATCACTTTACAGAGACAAGAGCAGGTGTCTCCGTGTTGCTTACCAAGTTTAAAGGCCTCAGTTGTCAAAAACTCAAATCACAGTGAGACTTTCTGGGGATTTATACCAACGATGTTGATCTATGAGGGATGTGCACATGCACAATCCTGTACCCACGGGGTAACACCTATTAAACGTGTGCGAGAGCGTGCACAAGCCCATGATGATCCACCTTGAAAAAGAAAATCCTCCACTAGACCTTTAATATAAGATAACTCTGCTGCAACGTTTGGTTCCCTAAAATTTAACTCTGAATTTGCATTCCTGTTTCTTTTTCATATACCTTGATCATCACCTTGTTTTCCAAAAAAAAGAGCAGGTGTGTTGGCCTACAGCTTAAAAATGATATGGGGAGGAAAATTTACAGAACACATTCGCTGACAGAACATCCAATCCTAGAGCTATGGAGGGAATTTAGCTCCATTTTTGTAGCAAACAAAGGAACAAGATTTGTAAATGGAAATAGAAAATAATCCAGAAATAAAATGTGGAAAATAAATAATCCCCCCCCCAAAAAAAAAAA